TAAAATCAAACAATCAAACAAAAAAAGTTTCAACAATGTAAAGATTTACATAAAAATTAATTTTGTCTCTAAATTGTAACAAAATTAACTGTAAATCAAATTAACTCAAAGTTATCAAGTCAATTTGAGTTAATGTTTCAACTCATCAATTGATTTAATCAGATTCAGATTATATTTAGCATTTGAATTGAAAAAACTTTTATTGTTACGAAAAAAAAAACTAATATTAATAATCATAAATTAACAATAAGTTTGATACCATTAATTTTGATTCCTTTATTATATCATTACTATTATGGATTATTATTAAATTGTTGTACTATTAATGATGAACAATTAACTTTCTTTCACTCAATTGATTGGGAACGAAAATGTTTATTAATGACTAATTAATAATTCTCAACTAATTGCTGGCTTAAGGATTTAATTGCCTCAATCAATTGTGATATTAGTTTATAATATAAATTCAACTCATCATCATGGCAAATGAATCAACAATCAACAAAACTAATTTCATATTAATGATTTTATATTGATTTTATTATCAATCAACAATAATAATAGTACAATCTATTGATTGATTAACCATTAATTGAAGTTTATAAAAAGTAAATCAAGTTAATCAAAGTTAAACTGATTCAGTTTCCGTGTAATCTGCTGATTGTTAACATGGAAATTTTGATTTGATTGTAAAGGCAAAGATCTAGATTGTCAATTCAGTTGATTAAATGATTTACATTAAAATCAATTGATTAATCCTCACGATAGACATCAAGTATTGATTCAGTTTCATGATATAAATGTAGCCTCAGGCTTTCATGAATCATATGATAAGTATTCATATTGATCTAATATGACCACTTAAACTTTACAGAATTGCCTTCAGGGTGTTTTCATATCCGATTCCAAGGAGATAAATACAACAAAAAAGAGAATCAAATTTTTCCAAGAATAGACAAAGACGATTGTCAATTGAATCTATTACCATGATGAATTCATGATAATGATCAACAATTGTTATTCATTCTGATATGTTGAGTAGGTTGAATTCATAAACAATCAACTACTTCATTAATTCAATATTGATTCAATTAGAATTAGGGTTTTTTTATCTTCTTCCTTAATTGTAACAATATAAAAAAAAACGAAGCAAAATAATGATTCTAATTATATAATCTTAATGATAATTAACTTTTCTTTGATTTGATTTCCTAATATATATTTTTGATTGTTGCCTTATCATGAATGGTAATTAGTATCTTCCTTAATGAATATAAGAAAAAAAAATGAACAATTAAAATCTTATGATGATAATCTTATCATCCTTTTAATTGCTATTTACCAATCAGGATAATAATATTATCTGATTTTCACAATTAATGGATAACAATGATTAACATTATTATTATTACACAAGGAAATTTAGGTCACAATTAAAAAACGATAATGATAATCAGCAATTAATAAAAGAGAGAAAATAATTCATTCAATTGTTCATTCATGGGGATTACTTTCATTTTCATGATATCATTTCCCATTTCATTAAATTTAATTGAATTAAATTAAAATTAAGGAGACCAAACAATTGGAATTGAAATTTTTATCTTTCTGTCACCATTAATACCCATGGTTAATAATACCATTGTGTTAATAATAATAGTCGAGTTAAGTTCAATTTCTGTGAATATCATCATGGGATATGATAATTATTGTTATTTTTATATAATTTTCAGGGAGAAAAAGATGAAAACTTTTCAAGATTAAGAAAATAATACTCAGAAATATTACCTCATTTGTAGATTCATAGACACCCATGGTAATATCCAAGGTTACCTTGGGAATGGAATAGTTATTCACCATGTGAGTATTTATTATCTAATATTTAATTTCATTTTCTAAACTCAGTTCCATGAATATAATGAATTTTTTCTCTCTCTCTCTCTTCCATGATAACAAAACTTATTTCACAACATTTCTGAATCAATTTCATTGTTATATTTAAATCCAAAGTTCTGGTAACCATGGTGACCCTTGAGTCATGTTTCCACTAAATCTACATAAGAAATTAATTCCTTGATTTAATTCATGTTGAAATATTATCAAAACTAATCTTTTAAATCGGATGAAAATTAAATAACATCATTATTTTTGCTATTCCATTGGAATTAAATCTCAAGTGATTTCGATTCATTAGTAGAAATATCATCACAATGATCATTAAAATTCGAAATAATTTTTTTAATTCTTCTCTATCTAAACTTTTCTACTATAAAATTCATGATGGATTCAGAATAACATTTGCGTATATATTGTAAGTCGATTGTATTAATTACCTGATCATTAAATTGCCTCCCCTGAAAAACCACAGGCCAAGTTTTGATATCCAGGTAAAGCAACCTGAAAGTTTCCAATGAGCAGAAAAAAAGTTTCCTTTCTCACTTTAATTCCTGATAATGAGTATGAATGATTATGATGAATGTGTAGATAAAATTATGAAAATCATGCTCATAGTTTGGGCTCATCATGTTGATCAATCAATTTTAATAATAATGAAAATAGAACCAAACCTTGATTCTTGTTTGAAAAGTTCAGACACTGAACTTAAGCTTCCTGGGTGCTAATGGATGAAAATTCATCATGATAATGAATCAAGAAAAACGAAAAAGCTTCACAATCAATTTGAAACCTTGTTTCTTATTATTTCATCATTAAGATCAAAATTTTCATCTTCAAAAATTAATAAGATAATCTATCATCCTCATCATCATCACCATCATCTTCCTCTCTCTCCATCTCTCTCTTAATCCACCCCTTAATCAATGTTACTCATTAGGAAACTCACCCAATCCTTATTATCCTAAATCCTTCATGTATCTTCATGTTGACAACCTTTTCCACCCTCAACTAATTAATACCTTTACCTTTTGGTACAATCAATGTAAAAGGTTCACGGTGATGAGTACAGAGTGGAAATAGTTAACCTGCTATGAATACACATACTAGGGACCCACCGAAATTGAAATTTTCTGGGCCACCAAGCATTCTGGAAGTAAAAAATTTCCACCCCACCGGTTAACTCTTTACATTTACCATCGCCATCAATTGTTGTTAACACAATCACATTTATCCACATCCTTAACCTTATAAACCTTGCTCTTTACCACCAGCATCCTCATCCTCATCAACATCCTCATCATCATCCTCATCCTCATCATCATCATCATTCAATATCCTTTACTTTCCTACTCCTCCCACCTCAAACTAATCCATTTTCACAATGAACATGGTTTACTTCACATGATGAATGTTGAAACAGAGAGAAAATAAAAAAAGTTCATTTTCGAAAAAAAAAGAAAGGAAAATTCTCACCAGTAATCAATGAAATTATTTCTCCTGCAAAACATTACATGATAACCAACAATGTATCATGAATATTATTATCATCAATTTTGTTCTGACTCGGAGCGAGTCCAGAATTGATCATAAGGTGGCAGATTCATTTTCACCATCACTGAAAATATCATGAAAACTAATAAACTTTATCACTTTGGTAAACAAATATATCATTGATTTTTATTCATCTTTTACTATCATGTACACACACACACTTATCATACAGGGTTTCATTCAATGGATCTAAAAAATTGATAAGCACGTTGCAAATGAATTATGTATTATCTTGATGATGAGAAAAGTGAATTCACAAAATTTTAGCTTCTTGGTGTAAATTGAATTGAAAATTTTCAGGCAATAATATACAAGAGGCATGATAATAATATCCTGTGAGGAAGGCAGGGTAAAAGATAACCAGAGAGTCTCCAGAGGGATATTATCATTAGAATGGTTGATACGAGAGGATGAGTAAGGTGGGTGGATGGAAGGAGGAAAGAATAATTTTCATGTTCTATTTGAAATTCATCCACCTTTAAACCAGAATTTTATATTAGTCTAAATGTTATACATTTCGATATCTAATATGCATTCACAATATTCACCTTATCTAAAGCCGTTTCTCTCTCATTGCTACACAATGAAGGTATTTGCAAACATCCATTGCTGAGAAGTTATCAGCGATTTGGATATTCAGATGCCCACAATTCTGAAACCATGATGAGAGGATAACATGGAAAAATGGAAAATAAAATGTAATAATAATGAATGAAAATCGGTCAGAAAAATTTTCTCACTTGTTTCCATATCAAAAGAAACTCTCTCAAGTCTCATTTGTCAATGAATTCATGATAACCATGAATCTCATGTTTACTCATGGATATTTTCATGAATTATGATTTATCCGTGAATAACATTAGCTATCTGATTTTTTTCTCACTCTTGGTTTATCATCAACAATATTATTATCATCATTTTCAATGAGAAAAATACTTATATATTAATGTTGATAATATGTTGAAATTCTGGTGAAGGTAAGCTCAGAATCTGAATCAGAATACTCAGTTAACACTAGAATAGAAAGAGATGGAAATTTCCTTTACCTCTCACCCAAGTATTCAGATAATGTTATAATAATAATCATGCTAATGTTGATGATGATGATCATGATGATGCTACTGAATTCAAGTGAGATGGTAAATATACATTTTCCTTGGGTTATTAACATGAAGTTCATGTGTTCATTGCAATGAATTGAAATTACTGTTCACATTTACAATGATAATCATCATGTTAATAGTTGGCAATAACAGGGAATCATAAAAATAATCAACTCATAGATGTTGGAGTGAAATTGTTGAGATTAAAAGTTTTTTTTTACGATTTTCTATTCAAATTATACTCTATTATCATCATGAAATTCACCATCACCAACAGCAGAATCTACATCAACAGGAGTAAAACATAAATAACCATGAAACAAATAAATTCTAGGAGAGAGAAAAAAGTTTCGAGAAGTTTGTGTTCGAATGTTGAGAAAAAAAAGAGCAGAATAAGGTAAAAGGTTCATTTTCGTTAATATTAAATTAACGATAATAGAAAATGTTTAAATTCTTTATTATTATATTTTCTGTGAATAATTTTCATTCCATGATTACTTTTTCTTGGAGAGATACTCAGTCTCTTCTTCTTGGAATGTTCAATATAATGAATCTTTTTTTATACTCATGAAATTGTATCTTTATTTCCATGAGAACAGAAAATTCTCATTCTGATTGAGATGAGATATTAATAGAAAAAGAATCGAAAATTTTTATATTGGACATGATTCACTTTGATTCTTCTGTGTTGATTATTATTACTGTTGAATCTGTTTCATGATGGATGGAAAAATGAAGAAAAAAAAAGTTCTGATTCCCAGTTGATTGTTGGAAAGGTAAACGAATGATGTTTGATAAACATAATGGGAAATCAAAGGTATTGTTGATAGGGAATTGATGTTATCATGAGAGGCTCTGAAATTTTGGGTGTATTATTTTTTCCTGCTTTCGAAAACTAGCAAAAAATGAAGAAAATTTATTCTTTTTGTTCATTTTCTCTCTCTGGCTCTGGTTCTCCCATAGAATCCATCATTATCATCTTTGTCTTTTTATTATCATTTTTCTGACAAGTAAAATGTTGAAGGAAAAATGAGAAGTGAAAAAAAAAGTTCTGTCTCAATGGTTCAATGATTCAAAACGAGCAAGATTTTTTCGCCATCTCATCCATGATATTAATTGAGTGATAAAATGATTTCCATTGAAATTGAATTTGGATTCTGAGAAGAAGATGAATGAAAAAAAAAATATGATTTAGATACAATTTAGAGAGAGTTAATTAAATTACCCAAATTGTAACTTGATGATAATCAGGGTAATTGAATGAATGGTTCATACTCATTCAAAGATTATATTAGCATGTTGATGATGATGATGAATCCATGGAATCCTCTGAATCTCTGAAAATGAACAATGAGTTTACATGAGGAAAAAGAACAGGAAAAAAAATTGATTGTTAATGGTTGTCAATGAGTTGCATGGATAATCAGCTAATTGAAGTTACTGGGTTTAGAATAATCTTCCTCTCGTTCCCTGTCTGAACCAGAATTCATGGTGGAAAATGTTAATTAATTTTCCTTGGATCATTCAGACTCACTGTAACCCAGAATTGATGATAATCAACAAACAACAAAACCAGAAGATTGATCAACAAACAGTAGAAAACATACCAACCATGAATACATGATATTTATACACTTTTCCTGAATCGAATTGTGAAAAACAACTGATTAACAGAACTATTTTATATTCTGTTTATGATAATCTGAAAGAAGATGATGAAGATCAGCTCGAGAATCAATGAAAAAGAGAAAAGTTGTGTCTTAATATTCGAGAAATTTGGAATATTCAACTATCAGAAATTCAGAATATTAAAGTTTCAGTTTCGAATTTAATTTTCATGTTAAAATATTCAATTTATCATCAATTTAGAATTGAAAGAGAAAGAAAGTTCCTAAAAAGAGGCAGATTAACATGAAAGTTTTAAAAATTTTCTTTTACAAGTAAATCGCTTTAATCGATCTCGTCGATTTACTTATCATCATGTTTATCATCTTATTCTTATTCTTATTGTTATTTTCTCCATTTTTTTCAATACTTTTCCTTCTGTTGGAACTTTTCTCTCTATTCACTCATGATTCAATATTATCCATTGATTTTACAATTATGAACAAAAAGTTCTTGATGATTATATCATCATGTTGGAAAAATATTGATTCAGTCAATGAGGATTGAAATTTTCCAAAAGCTAATATCAAGTTAAGATAAATACAAAAATAAACTCATGATGATGGTGATTTCCATCAACTGTTAACAAGGAAAAAGACAAAAAAAGGTTTCGTGTTCAGGAATCATCGATAATAATCTCATGAATCGACTGAACATGAAATCAGAAGAGAAAAAATAAATATTCTGAGCAATCAGGTGATCGGCAATCATAATATGAGTTTCAAGAATTACCATGAATATAATGAACCTTAGATAGAGAAAAATTAAGATGACAGATTAATTATCTCAATAAGAGGAAGAGGAAAACTTGAAGAAAATAAAAAAAAGTTCCAAGATGATCTAAACATGGGATCGACTCTTTCTGAATTTTTCTGAGCAAGAAAAGAGAGAGAGAGAGAGAGTGTTTCAATTTAATTTCACCAAAGAGATTAGACTCCGTATCAAATGAGTTAATAACACAATTATTAAAACTATAGACTTTTAATATAAGAAAAATCAATTTAGGATTTGAACGTAAAGTCAACACCATGAAGGTGCCAACTCAACTAAATTCAAAATGGCGGAGAGAAAAGATGAAGAGAGAGAAAGGGGAAACATTGTAGGGGAAAACAAGGTGATCTGGCCAGGTACTAAACCAGTTTTAGTACCTGGCCAAAGTTGTTATGACATTATCCGGGCACCATCCTCGTAAAGTCCCTTTTACGAGCAGAATTATTCAAATGACTCAGTAGACTTTCCATATCAAAGGTTGCAGTTAGATTGTTCATTCCAATATAATAATAAATTTAAGAGGTTAATAAATGAAAATACCCAACACCAAGCCCATGCACCGAGTTGATTAATTATTGATTGAATTTGTTTTTAAGATAATAATATTCAGCTTCCACGGCATAATCCTTAAATTCGTCCATTGAATTTACCTTTACCACAGCAATATACTTTAAAATACCAGGGAGGAATCCATTTTTAATATATCTTATTTTATCATCGAAATCCATATTTGGATCAAATTTAGCACACAGGCCAACCATTTCAAAGAAATAAGATATAACATCTTGACCTTCGTGTTGCTTTTTATTTTCAATTTTCGAGCGTAATTCATCTTTATGTAGCGAAGGTTGTTTAAAAGCTGCGAGTAATTTAGCTTTCAAATCGTCAAAAGTAGCTGGTCGTTGATCAACAGGTTTACTTCTTATACTACCAACATACCAATCTTTAGCAGGACCAATTAAATAAACAGGTAATCGTCTTAGTTTATCAATATTTTTCAAGCCAGCGGCTTCAGTTATTTGTTCAAAATCGTCAAGCCAATCATAGACATCAGCATTATTTCCATCAAAGTTTTTAATATTGTTTAACAAAGTATCATCGAAATATCGGCTCGTCATAGTTAAAAAAAAACTTTTGTTCAATGTAGACTGACTATTAAATCCAACACAAACGAACCAGCAATCTTGAAATAAACGGCTAACTCAATTAACCAAAAAGACAAAAGTTTCACAGATCCTGGAACAACGGACAATCGAATCAGCTACTTGAACGACAAATTATTAAAATAGCAAATTATAACAAAAAATAATCAATAACTAGATTATCCAAAGAATCAAATACAAAATTTTCTATTATGACAAATTTTCACAACAAATTGACTATTAAATCCAAAAATAACAACGAACCAACAAATCTTGAAACGAACGGTTAACTCAATTAACCAAAGACCAAAAGTTTCACAGATTCTTGGGGCAACGGACAATCGAATCAATGAGTAGAAAACAGAATAAACAAAAGCACTCAAAATTAGGCAATCAAATTTTACGGAATTTATGAAATGACGAAGATGATAAACATTAACTAGTTTATCAAACGAATTTAAACGAAGTTGACCAAATGACGAAAGTGATAAACAATAACTAAATTATCAAACAAATTTTTAACCAAATGTTGAACGTAATTCACCAATTGACGAAAGTGATAAACAATAACTAGTTTATCAAACGAACTCCAAAGAAATTTACCAATTGACGAAGGTGATAAACAATAACTAGTTTATCAATAAAATTTTAAACGAAGTTGACCAAATGACGAAGTTGATAAACAATAACTAAATTATCAAACGAATTCAAACGAAGTTGACCAAATGACGGAAAGTGATAAACAATAACAGATCAAATTGTCTGATTGATCCACCTAAAGGAGCACAGCTTTGTAACTAATAACTAAGTTACTCGATCGTTTCGACAAATTAATCACCACGTAGACCAATGAAACACAATTGTAACTAATAACTAAGTTACTCGATCGTTTCGACAAATTAATCACCACGAAAACCAATGAAACACAATTGTAACTAATAACTAAGTTACTCGATCGTTTCGACAAATTAATCACCACGAAAACCAATGAAACACAATTGTAACTAATAACTAAGTTACTCGATCGTTTCGACAAATTAATCACCACGTAGACCAATGAAACACAATTGTAACTAATAACTAAGTTACTCGATCGTTTCGACAAATTAATCACCACGTAGACCAATGAAACACAATTGTAACTAATAACTAAGTTACTCGATCGTTTCGACAAATTAATCACCACGTAGACCAATGAAACACAATTGTAACTAATAACTAAGTTACTCGATCGTTTCGACAAATTAATCACCACGTAGACCAATGAAACACAATTGTAACTAATAACTGTTACTCGATCGTTTGACAAATTAATCACCACGTGACCAATGAAACACAATTGTAACTAATAACTGTTACTCGATCGTTCGACAAATTAATCACCACGAAAACCAATGAAACACAATTGTAACTAATAACTAAGTTACTCGATCGTTTGACAAATTAATCACCACGTAGACCAATGAAACACAATTGTAACTAATAACTAAGTTACTCGATCGTTTCGACAAATTAATCACCACGTAGACCAATGAAACACAATTGTAACTAATAACTAAGTTACTCGATCGTTTCGACAAATTAATCACCACGAAAACCAATGAAACACAATTGTAACTAATAACTAAGTTACTCGATCGTTTCGACAAATTAATCACCACGTAGACCAATGAAACACAATTGTAACTAATAACTAAGTTACTCGATCGTTTCGACAAATTAATCACCACGAAAACCAATGAAACACAATTGTAACTAATAACTAAGTTACTCGATTATTTCACTAAAAGAAACACGAATTATTAGGCTAAAACTAAGGATAAATATTAACTTAAACGGGTCAGATTGTTGAATTATTTCACGCAAGCGAAAAAAAAGTATTCAGTATTGCTCGACAGTTATTGTTTCTGCTTGTTTCTTTTTTTGGAGATACAATAATTAATGTTTCTTTGTGTCTGAGTTTTTTTTTTACGTACAAGGTAGAAGAAAACTGGTTTCTACTCAAACTAGTTGAAATCTTTGATAAGCTTCACTCGATATGGTTAGATTCAAAACGAGTTTTTGAGAACAACCTTATAATTATTTTTGTTGGCTTTAACTAAAAGATTGAAAATGAAACTAAATTGAAAAACCTGATTTTTGATCGATTTTTAATTCGATCTTTCAACAAAGAAATGAATGGATATTATCATTGAATTACTTTGATTTTATCTCTTTACTAAAATCAAAGATTATTTTGTTAATCTCAAAAGAAGTATAAAAGTATTACAAAGATCTTGTAATTAAAACAAAGAGCATATAAAACGAAGGGTTGGCCTGACTTGGAGAAGAAATAGCAGAAACAACGAAAACTTTGACTTTTCAATACACAAAACAATTCACTGGACGAGAAGTAGGTTATTCAATAAAGATTGCTATGTAAGATGAACGGAAAATCACGTCTGGGTCACCAAAAATGTTTCAATTTAATTTCACCAAAGAGATTAGACTCCGTATCAAATGAGTTAATAACACAATTATTAAAACTATAGACTTTTAATATAAGAAAAATCAATTTAGGATTTGAACGTAAAGTCAACACCATGAAGGTGCCAACTCAACTAAATTCAAAATGGCGGAGAGAAAAGATGAAGAGAGAGAAAGGGGAAACATTGTAGGGGAAAACAAGGTGATCTGGCCAGGTACTAAACCAGTTTTAGTACCTGGCCAAAGTTGTTATGACAAGAGAGAGAGAGAGAGAGAGAGAGAGAGAGAGACTAAGAGGGCTCGGTTGAAGGTGGTGGGCATCTCCATCATGTATCATGGTTATTACACTGATATTTATTGTAAGTACTAAGAAACCCTCCTGCTGATTGAGATAATATCATGAAGAGTGAAAGAAAAACAAAAATCAAGATGATTATCATTAGTTAAGCATTAAAAGTGAGCGTTAAGAGATGAAGATAAAATTGCCAAAAATTGATGGAATAAGAAATAAATAAAATAAAATACCATTGATATGAGATGATGCAGACTGATGATAAAAAAAAGTTTCAGAAAGTAAATGATGTAGAGATGAAAAAGTCACAATAACACCTTAGGGCATATTTTGTGCAGATTGTGTTTGCATCAATAAAAACATTGCAAAGTAAATATCAACAACTATTAATACTGAGAGAGAGAGAGAGAGAGAGAGAGAGAGAGAGAGAGAGAGAGAGAGAGAGAGAGAGAGAGAGAGAGAGAGAGAGAGAAGATTCAGAAAGCAATATCAGCCATCAGAAGCCATCATCTTCTTATTGCAAATGATATTAGTCCAAGAAATAATTCATCACCATCATGAAATAAACAATAAGAATGATATTTGTCAGCTGGTAAACAATAAACATGAAGATGATCATGTTGTAGTGTTGATAAAGAAAAAAAAACAAGTTTTGTCCATTATCCAAGTGTAACTGGACAATAACATCAACAACAACAATGTAAACACTTTGTTGATCTGCAAATACAACATTTCAATCACAAATACATGTAATATTACATATAAACAGCAAGATGATGATGATGATGATTATTATCAGAAACATTTACACTTTTCAATTTATTGCAATTTGATTTTGAAAATCATTTAAAATGCACACTTACCTGTTAACCATATCATCAACATGATATTGCAAACCAATGATTAGAATCACTTTCAATCATTATCAGCTAATCAACATTTTTGATTTGAAACGTTGATCTCTCTTGATGGTCTGTTAATAGTTAGAAAGTTACTGATAATGAGATGATGATGATGATGATGATGATAAAAAAAAGATAATCAAGTTGACCGTAAGTTACCCATGTAGTTTCAGCATCATGTTCATCAATGTACATCAGATAAATGCTTCTCTGCATGTGATTTATCAGATTCACTGCATGAGGTGTTAAGGTGTTTGCAGGTATTTCTTATGTTGGTTTTCATTGGTTTCGTTTTTTCAGCTTCACATTACATCACATTTTAACTAATACAAATCGATTTAAATTAGTCCACAGTGTTACCTTATTAATGGCTGATTCCTTCATCTTCTTGATGATGATGATGATGATGATGATGACGGTGATGTATTTGAAATTTCATTGCAAAAGTCAACAAGTTTATTACCTGAATCTTTGGTCATTTTGAAACATTTACCAATTTGTATCAAGTTTAATTTGTTTTCAGTGTTTTTTTTGTGAGTTGATTTGATTTGATTTGTTTTTATACTTCTTTTTGGCTGATTGATTTTACAACATCTTCCAATGTCATGAAGTTTAAATGATTGTCAGTTTTAATGGTGTTTGATTTGTTAGATTGCTTAACTTAATTGTTAACCTTTAGTTGATTGATCAAAATCGGTTTTTACTTTTTTTTTTAATTTTACCTTTAAATATCTGCAAGGTAAATGAATTTACAGTTGCAAATGATTAAGTAATTGTAAACGCCCTTTGATTGCTGATTGAAAAGCATTAACAACTTTGTTTTTCTGTCAAATTGATTAAGATTAAATTGCAATATAAACACACATAGAGGTTGTGGTCAGTCAATGGTGATTTTTCATGCAATTTGAACACAACAACAGATATTAGATTATCATTATGAGAGGTACAAGAAAAAGATGATGAAGTGAAAACTCAAAACAACCGGAAAGATAAAAAAAATGTTAGAACCGAAATGATCAGTCGAATGTGTATAATTTTTGTACTGTAAGCATCAATTTTCACCTCAAACCATCACTTCCCACCTTTAGTTTACCTGTCGTTCCATATACATATAACTCTATGTGTGTAACAAATCAAAAGCTAAAGGTGATGATGAACAGATAAAGATAAGCTGTAAGGGATAAACAAAAAGGTAAACAAGGATAACGATGGAAAAATGTCTAAGCTGATGCGGTATTGCAAAGAAAAGGCTATTAAATTAATCAAATCATAGAGAGAGAGAGAGAGAGAGAAATCAACAATCAACAATGGATGAAAATGTTACTATTGCAAAGTTGATTCCATTTTGAGCTTAGATTGTATTTAATGGCATTAATGTTGTTACTCGAAGGAGGAACCATCATGATGACCATAATCATTATTATCTCAGTTTACGAGGATTTTTTTTCTTCACAGTAATTGAAGAAACGATTTTATCTCTCACTTTTTTTGAACTTCTTGAAAACTATCAACATACAACAGGTTATAACCTGTCAAGGGTGTTGACAGAAGCCTCGATCAGAATATGAGAAGAAGTGAGAGAGAGAGAGAGATTGTTAATAATGTTTGCAAAATAATTTCTTCGCCTTTGGTTTTAAAAACTCTCAAGTGTGAGTTTGTGCTTTTTGTTTGCAACATGATGATTATTTGAAATCCACTGAAAATGAGTAGTGGAAAAAAAAGTGATTACATTTTCTTGCTTTTCTATTGATTCTTTTAAATTAATTGCACTTCAATTGCTGTTTATTTTGCAATTAGTTGATTCTCTTTCGCTCTCAACAAAATTATTTTTTCTGTTGTTTAGTAGCAAATAAACAACAACAAATACAAACGCGCTTTTAGAGCTACAAAGTTTTTCTCTTCGCTCATTTTAAAATGTGAATTGACCAAATTACAAAAATTGGAAACTTTGATTACTCTGGTTAATTGTTGATTTGCAATCGCAATCGAATGCTAAATAATTTAAAAGTGATGTTAGTTTACTTTGGCACTAATTTTCACTGTATTGGCACGTTTAATATTTGAGTATTTATATCAATCTCAACTTGGACCAATCTAATTTAATGAGCAGATTGATTGAGGATTAGGATGATTGGTGATTAGTGATGGGAAATGTTCAATTGAGCTAAACGAGTCAATTGACAAAGATGATGATGATGATGATGATACATAATATTGGATAAGATTTGGATGAATACCTTAACCAAGTCAATACAAATTGACATCACAATTTTGATTGGCTTTACATTGATTAGCTTTTATTTATCTTTTTGCGTTTTGATTGACAGAAAATGACAAAGGGACTAAAATTACAAATTCACCACACACACACACACAGATACACATGAATTACATGGAGAGTGATAATTTCCAACCTCCCACCGCATTTAAAATTGCAACAATCAAACGTGCAAATATCACACCAATGGACAGTTGATCATTGAGCAATATATCACTCAGAATGATTGATAATTAAACGATTACCAGTTTCAAATTTTCTTTCCATCAAATCGAAACTTTTTTCTCGCAAAATGATGAAAATTCATTTTCCATTGAAAAAAAAACCATTCACCTTGATGATTCTCATGATGATGATGATTTTCACCTTGACCATTCAACAGTTTCTCCCTTAATCTGTTGACATGACCATTATTCATCTTAGATGAGGATTAATTTTAATTTACTAATTACAATTACTTATCATTTATGAACTCAAATTTGAGGTATTAAAAAACTGTCAAAAATCAGATTATCAAATTGATTGTTATTCATTAACTAATTTAGTTTCTCTCGGTTAATTTCATCTGAGAAGAAGCAACAAAAAAAACTCAATTATAATCATCGGTGTGTATACAACACAGTTTATTAATCTTGTCAGATTTAATTCACTTGGTGTGTTGATTGTAATCAGGAAAATACTATTAACAGGGAAATAGTGAGTCTCTTGATTGCCATTAACAATTAACAATTAACTCTCTAACTAACAAACCAACACTTTAAGATTAAGACTACGACCTTTAGTTTTTTCCTAATTGCAATTAACTTGAGAAGTAAAAAAATTAAATCTAAAGTAATTTAATTTAATTTACTGTTGATTATCAATCTCTGATCAATAAAGGAAACTGTTAATAGTTATCACTTAACTTTTTCTCTAATCATAAACAATTAAGTTTCGTTGAAAATGTGATACTGATTTAGTTGATTACTTTTCTGTTTTAAATAGCAAAAACTACATTAGGAAAACTAATCTAATGGTTACAATTTAATTTGCTAGTTGATTGTTTCATTAAATCACAATTGGTTAATTATTTTGAAAATTTATTGTAACAATCAACAAATACTAACACATACGAAATTGTTTCCCAATATATTAATAATTTAAAGTTAATTGTTCAATATTAACAGTTACTAATGTAAATTGTAAGGATAATAAATTTAATCACTGACAAGTTGGGAAAACTAATCACAAAACAACAATTTAAGTTAATTGTCAATATGATTAAAAACTGTAAATCAAGATCAATATCTAATCCCATTTACCTTAATCCCTCACAACTGATTGGATTAACTTAAATGGTGATATTCAACTAACTTATTAATATTATTTAAGATTTAATTGTGAACAGTTAAGTTAATTATCATAACAATTAACTGTAAAACTTTTTCTCTCTCCCAACTAATTGTTATCATTATTGAATCCATGGTTTCCTTATGGACTAATTAACTTTTCGTCTCTATTATTTGTTTAATTAAATAATATGAATAGAAAACGAGAGAGAAAAAAAATTCAACATGATTAACTTTAATTATCATTTATGGTTTTAATTGTTATAATTCATTTGTAATGTTACACTGTGTTGATATCCCATATGATTAGTTAATTGTTAATGATCATTGGGTTCAGCATTGAATTGTAATGAGGTTAAATTGTCATGTGGTTACTACTACAATTAGTTAATTGTTATTATAATGTTAACTGTAAATAACAATTAAACCAGAAAAAGTTTTTTCAAACAATACAAATATAATTATCGTTATTAATGATTTAGGAATATCAATGATAGTTAATTATATTCAGTTAATTGTTGATTAAAACGAAAGTTTCATCAATAATTTTGTCACTTTGATTTTGTATTTTCAGTTGATGGTTCATTTTAATTACTACTAAGTATTGAATGAATGAGATGGACATTAAATTAATAGTTGACCATTGGTTGAGAAAATTAAATGATTAAATCTTTCATTGTTTATCAATAACAATTAAAGATTAACAATTAAGTAGTTTCCTTTTGAATTAAGATGTTGTTTTCCTCTTAAAGCTAATGAGTCTCATTAACAATCAGTTGAATCCTCAAACTGACCAATTACAATGATAATGATTGACCATTAACACCAGTGGATAGATTTTGTTAATTTAGCTTCAATGTTAATTGTAATCTTAATCATTATCATAGGATTTTCATTGTTAACCTGATAACCATTTACATAATAATAATATCAACACACAATCCGAAAAGTTAATGGTCAGTAATCAAGAAATCGGTAAATGTAACTGTTTACTTGACCAATGGTCAACATCTGATTGAATGGTCAATCAATGAAGCTGTTAATGTCATTGGTAATAATGATGATAATGATTACAAAGCTGAAAGTCAATCAGTAACAATCAACTTTAATCAAACAAACCATTACCAGTTGATTAACACAAGATAATCAGTTGATTCAGTTCAAATGATATAAGTTGAATTTGAATCCTAACCAATACAAAGCTATGTAATAATAAACTGATCAAACTAATCAGCTGATTGGATTTTTTTTAATCTCAATCTGTTGTTGATGATGATGATCATCATTATCTTTAAATTGTTTGCAACATTAAAAAATCAAATTAATTTTCATTGGGATGAAAATAGTAACTAAATTATAACAAGAAAAATGCAATTTCAAGTGACCGTTAGAGTTGATGCAATATTAACTTTCTCAATTGGCTATTCAGCTCAATGGTCATCATCATCATCCTTTATACCTTATCATCATTTTCATCATCATCATCATCATCATCATCATCGTTGTACTAAAATTGATCCCATGAATGGTTAAACTTGTTTCAATTACCATTGGTTATTGCAAGTGATGCAGTTTCGTTGTGATATAATCATCATTATCTTCAATGGGGAAAAGCTCAAAATAAAACCACTATCATCATCATCATCATCATTATCATCATAATCTTCATGGACATTTTATCTGAAATTGCTCAACAACTCAGGGTAAAAGTTCAGGTCAAACAGTTTCAGTTAATGGAGATAACTTTTTCCCTTCCACCTTATTGACCAATTGGATTGCAGTTTTCATTTTCTTCAAGAAATTAATTCAATTCCTAATGAATAATGATGATGATAGAAAATAATTCTGAGTGACCAAAGACAAAAACAAGAGTCTCCATTATAATGATGAATTCAATAT